CACCGGTTAAGCGAACACAGTGAAGAAGAAGGGAGAAACTTTTTTGAATTTCCAGCGACGGTATGCGAAAAAAGCAGCCATGTCTGCTTTATTCTCTTACAGAAACAGAGCAATCTCTCTTTTGCGACTCGGTTCTTCGAAATTCGGATGTTTCTCTCGAGCAGGGTTTTCTTGCGGCGCTGTAAAACAGTATAAACGAGATGATTATGCTTCTCACGAACCATTTGGTATCTCTGGTGAGTTTGTTTTATGTGAAATTTTTTCTTATTACGAACTCAAACTCGTTAAAATAGAACCGTAGTATTGAAATGTTGGTGGGTTTTGCCGAATTTTGAATCCTATGATGTTTTTTTCCCCTGAATCTTCTGGATGGGTTTTTGCTAAAAAAATTGAGCTTCTTTGTTGGGTCTATGAATGAAGCAGGGTTTGATATGGAGAAGAGCATATACAACATTCTTACAATTGACCGTTGGGGATCTCTTAATCATATGGATTATAGACAGGCTCGTCTTAGACCAGTTCACGGGAAGCTAGCTTTGAAGTTTCTTAAATGGGTAGTTAAGCAGCCAGGTTTGGAGACTGACCACATTGTTCAGTTGTTCTGTATTACTACACATATACTTGTTAGAGCTAGAATGTATGATCCTGCAAGACACATCTTGAAGGAGTTATCTTGGATGGGTAACAAATCAAGCTTTGTTTTTGGTGCTTTAATGACCACTTACCGGCTTTGCAATTCAAACCCTTCTGTTTTCGATATCTTGATTAAAGTGTATTTGAGAGAAGGAATGATTCAAGATTCGCTCGAAATATTTCGCTTGATGGGTCTTTACGGTTTCAACCCTTCTGTTTATACTTGTAATACAATGCTAGGTTCTGTTGTAAAGAGTGGTGGGGATGTCTCAGTCTGGTCTTTCTTGAAGGAAATGCTAAAGAGGAAGATTTGTCCCGATGTGGCTACCTTCAATATACTACTTAATGTGCTCTGCGCTGAAGAAAATTTTAAAAAGTCATGCTATCTTATGGAAAAGATGGAGATGGCTGGTTATTCCCCAACTATAGTTACGTACAATACTGTGCTCCATTGGTATTGTAAAAAGGGAAGATATAAAGCTGCTATTGAGCTTATTGATCACATGAGGTCGAAAGGGGTCGACGCTGATGTTTGTACATATAATATGCTTATCCATGATTTGTGCAGAAACAATAGAAGTGCCAGAGGTTATTTGTTGTTGAGGAAAATGAGGAAGCGGATGATTTACCCCAACGAAGTCACGTACAATACGCTTATTTGTGGTTTTTCCAATGAAGGAAAAGTTCTCATTGCTCGTCAACTTTTGGATGAGATGCTAACCTCTGGACTTTCCCCGAATCATGTTACTTTTAATGCTTTGATTGATGGACACATTGGTGAGGGAAACTTTAAAGAGGCTTTGAAGATGTTTTATATGATGGAAGCGCAAGGTCTTATACCTACTGAAGGTAGCTATGGGTTACTTTTAGATGGGTTGTGCAAGCATGCAGAGTTTGACTTAGCGCGAGGCTTTTACATGAGAATGAAGATAAATGGGGTCGCTGTTGGGCGAATAACATACACTGGAATGATTGATGGGTTATGCAAAAATGGGTTATTAGATGAAGCAGTTGGGATGCTTAATGAAATGAGCAAAGATGGTATTGATCCCGATATCGTCACATACTCCGCACTTATAAATGGATTTTGCAAGGTGGGGATGTTTAAAACTGCCAAGGAGATAGTGTGTAGAATTTACCGAGCTGGTCTTAGTCCAAATGGCATCATATACTCAACGCTGATATACAATTGTTGCAGGATGGGATGCTTAAAGGAAGCATTAAGAATTTATGAAGCGATGATCCTCGAGGGTCATACTCCAGACCATTTCATGGTCAATGTACTTGTTGCTTCGCTATGTAAAGCTGGTAAAGTGGGTGAGGCAGAAGAATTTATGCGTTGCATGACAAGTGATGGTCTTCTTCCTAACACAGTTAGCTTTGATTGTCTTATCAACGGGTATGGAAGCTTGGGTGAAGGGCTAAAAGCGTTCTCTATTTTTGATGAGATGATGAAAGTAGGTCATCACCCAACGTTCTTCACATATGGTAGTCTGCTCAAGGGATTATGCAAAGGTGGGCATTTGATAGAGGCAGAGAAGTTTCTGAATAGCCTCCATGACGTTCATGGAGCTGTTGATACTGTAATGTACAACACACTAGTCACTGCGATGTGTAAATCTGGGAACTTGGACAAGGCTGTCTCTCTTTTTGGTGAGATGGTGCAGCGAAGCATCCTGCCAGACATTTATACATATACAAGTCTTATTTCTGGGTTGTGTAAGAAAGGCAAGACTGCTATTGCCATACTTTTTGCTAAGGAAGCTGAGGATCGAGGTAATTTACTTCCCAACAAGGTGATGTATACCTGTTTTGTGGATGGTCTGTTCAAGGCTGGCCAGTGGAGAGCTGCTTTTTATTTTCGGGAGCAAATGGAGAAAGTTGGCCTTACCCCTGATGCTGTCACAACAAACGCAATGATTGATGGTTACTCAAGGATGGGGAAAATAGAGAAGACAAATGAGCTACTTTCTGAATTGGGGAACCAAAACAGGGGTCCTAATCTGGCTACCTACAATATTCTCTTGCATGGGTATTCGAAGAGGAAAGACATATCAACGAGCTTTATGCTGTATAGATCCATGATACTGAACGGAATTTTACCTGACAAGCTGACGTGTCATTCTCTAATGCTCGGGATTTGTGAATCCAACATGTTGGAGATTGGTCTTAAAATCTTGAAAGCATTCATATGCCAAGGTATTGAAGTGGACAGGTATACGTTCAACATGCTAATCTCCAAATGTTGTGCAAATGGAGAGATCAAAAGCGCATTTGATCTAGTTAATATCATGACTTCACTGGGAATCTCCCTTGATAGAAATACGTGTGACGCCATTGTAAGCATCCTCAACAGGAGTCACAGGTTTCAGGAATCTCGCATGCTTTTGCACGAAATGTCGAAGCAAGGTATATCTCTCAAGTGTACAAAGTACATTGGTCTGCTTAACGGTCTTTGCAGAGTGGGAGATATAAAGACTGCGTTTGAGCTAAAGGATGAGATGATAACACTTAAGATATGTCCGTGTAATGTAGCTGAGAGTGCAATGGTAAGAGCACTTGCAAAATGCGGTAAGGCGGAAGAAGCTATGCTGCTTCTTCGGTCTATGCTGAAAATGAAGTTGGTTCCAACTATTGCTAGTTTCACTACTCTAATGCACATGTATTCCAAGAATGGTGATGTTACAAAGGCCCTGGAATTGAGAGTCATCATGAATAATTGTGGCCTGAAGCTTGATCTCGTGTCGTATAATGTCTTGATTACTGGACTATGTGGCAGAAGTGATATTGTAGCTGCATTTGAACTCTATGAAGAGATGAAACGAGATGGTCTCTTAGCCAATGTGACTACCTACAAAGCTCTCATCAGTGGGATTCTTTCTCTAGGAACCGCTTTCGCTGGGACTGATATCATCATGAAAGATTTACTTGCAAGAGGATTCATAACATCCTTGAGCTCGTCACAAGATTCACAGAAAACCTTGACAATGGTCATGGGGAAGCTGAAGGCCTTGCAAAGTAACAAAAAGGGATAAAGCATCAGAACAAGCTTTAATCCTCAGCAAATTAGTGTTACCGCTTATCCCGAGGATCTGCTTCTCTGTAACACGGTTTGTTCTTAATCCTTTTGTTTGTTACTCTTTCGTTCCCTATTTACAGTTCTCATATCTATTGTGTTTTCCGCTTTCCAGGTGAAATCGCAGTTTATCACGTGAAAAGCTGGGTTTGCCAAAGTAAATGTTCTCTACAAGAACCAGCTAAAAAGTTCCTTGAGCTTTGTCTGATTCACAGAATACATCTTACTGTCATTCTTCTTGGCCTCTCTGGTAAATAAATAAGTATGCAATCATAGTGATACTTTTGTTTTCTCTTGTGACAGTTCTTGATGTGAGTGCCAACCAGTTCCAGAAGCTCAAGCCACTTAAGCTTGTGCTGTTTTGCAGAGAACAAGACAAGCAAGACAGTGAAGCTGCGTCTTGACTGGCTCTTTTTCCCTGACAAATACAACTCAAAAAACCATACCAAAACTTGATTGAATTTCTTTAAACTCCAGGTGTGATTATAACTACTGTCTTTCTCTACTCCACTTGCGTTAAAGATCTGTTTTGTTTGTTGTTTCTTACATTTCTTTTTTTTTTTCTCTTTACAGAGACAAAGCAGGAAGAGGAACAAACTCTTAATGATTAGCTGGAGCTCTGTTGGCAATTCATGTGCTGAATTCACCTGTAAATCAGTCTGGACTCATTCAGGTTAATGGCTCAGGGAAATGCAGAGCAATGGAAGCAAAAGG